AATCAGTCTGATATTTTGAACTGGAATATGCATATCTTTTATCATGGGGATTCCTTTTTTTTAAAATTCAACATTATCTCATTCTATTGATCTTTGAAGCTATTAAATTTTGCTTCCTCAATTACCATCTTTCTCCTATCTCAGCCCACCGACTTTGCACACACTCCCTAAACACACACATATATTTTTTCATGCTATAAAAATAAATCACTCTATAACTTCTATGTTGGTTTATTTCATGATAGAGTATTATTCATAAATTCCTGTTTAGTGTATTCTATGGACCAGTCACTGTTTTAAGAACCTTATGATCATCCTGTTTAATCCTCACAACCACTTTCTCAGATAGACACTACTGTTATCCCATTTGAAACAAGAATAATTGAGGCACAAAGAAGTAAAGCAATTTTCTTTAGGTCATATAGCCAATAAGCAGGAGAGCCAGTATTTGAATTTAGAGTCTGACTTCAAAATCTCAGGCCTAACCACAATGCTATACCCCTCCACTGGCTAGGGAGTCTTGTTTATGTTTATTTAGTAATAAAACAACTTTTAAATTACAAAAATAGCACATGCTAAATGTTAAAAAGCAATAGTAAAATTCCTAAATTTTTAAAACCTCAAACAATGGTAAAATACAAGTTGAGAATGAAGGTCCCTCTTCCCCCTACCAATTTCCATAGAGATGACTATTATTAAAAGTTTGTGTTTAGCCAGGGGTGATGGTATGCACCTACAGTCCCAGCTACTCAGGAGGCTCAGGAAGATCACTTGAGCTCAGGAGTTTGAAACCAGCCTGGGCAACATAGAGAGATTCTGTCTTAATTTTAAAAAAGTTTGTTGAATATTATTTCTAATTATGTAGACATAGATATAAAATATATATTAATGACATCACAGTAAACATATTCTTCTGTAAGTCATGACTGATTCATTTATATGCCATGCATGTCTTTCTATGAAAAGATGTGTGATTCTGCCTTAATTTTATTGGTTCCATAGTATGGATGTAGCATCATTTCTGTAGTCATTCCACTATTCATGGCCATTTAGAGTATATTCATGGGAATATAGGAAACTATGGAAATGAATATCCTAGACTTTATCATCTCTGTGAATGTCAATTCCATTTTTCTCCAGTTCAGGCTTAATCTTGATATTGCTCTTGATGCCTCTTTTTCTCTAATATCCACATAAAATCCATCAGCATATCCTACTGATTCTATTTTTAAATATATGCAGAGACATTGGTCATTTTGGTCATTTCTAATCACCTCTTCTCACTATCATCAAATCCATTACTTCTTATCTGAACTATTGTCATTACCTTGTAACTTGTTTTTCTACTTGCCAATAGCAGCCAAGAGTGATCTTTTAAAAACTCAATCAGATAAAAATTGCTCTACTCAAAGACTCTCCATCTAAGTCACTAACAGTCAAAGTACATGCCATGATCTTTAAGACCCTCCCTGAGCCAGCATCCTACTACTTTTCCAACCTTGACTTCTACTGCATTTCCGTGTATTGACATTACACCAGACACATTAAAATATCTGCTATTTCTTAAATATAATAAGCACAATTTCTCCTTAAGGTATTTGAATTTGTTCCCACTGCCTACAATCCTTTGACCCATTCTTCCCCCATATTTGCTTGACTGACTTCTTCATTTTTCTTTTAGGTCTCTGTTCAAATGCGATCACATCTTATTTGTTGAATGAGTGTTTAGTGAATGAATATATCTTTACCCAACTGAATAAATATTTCTGGAGAATAAATTTCTAGAAGTGAAACTGCTTACTTATTTCAAATCCTTCGTTATTCCAGTCCTCCGTCTTATATCCTTGCCTATTTTATTGTAGTATTCTCATGCTCCTCTTCAAAATGCTTCTGTGTTCCTGTCTGCTGTTTCTACTGTGGAAGGCTGGCTGGCTTTCTCTCTCTCCTGGGAGCTCTGGAAGAAAAGGAGACACTAGGCAGCTGGTCTGATTCTCGTGGGCCACTTTGCAAGGCTGTGATTTCAAGAGTGACCTTGGGGTGTGACTGAGTTGTCATTAAACAATTTAATAGATGAAAGAATCCCCTCTCCATACTTCAGCCACACTTATTGCTTCCCAAATATCTGGCACCATGTTGTAAACACTCAGTATTGTAAAGAAAAGATTTAGAAAAGAAATCTGTCTTATCATATTGGTTTAAAATATAGAGGATGTATATTGAAATTAGAACAAGTCAGAGAAGTCCTGGAGTTTTAGTCATGAAATAAAACTTTTGTCCATATGTATCTTTAAAATATTATGGCATTTTTGTTCACCCTTACCACATTCCATTTGAGAAAATCATATGATTACTGTTGATGATAAAGCGATTTATGATTTCCATGATTTCCTGGATAACTAGGATAAGAATGAGTAATTAGAATAAAAAAATTATGGACCTTTGGAACTAGGAGAGCTTATTTGTTCATTCCCCTAATTTTCTACAAAAAAGGAAACAGACTACTGTAGAGGTTGGTTGACTCATTCAAGCTCACACAGCTAGTTAATGGTACAGGTGGGTCCTCTGACTCCAAAAATAGTGCTCAGTAGCATCCATGGAACAGTGTCTGTGAACCAAACCTTGTGCTAAGTGAAGTTCTACCTGCTAGATAATTCCTGTTCCTTCCAATTGTCCTGACACCCTGCAGTTTAGTTAGATTATGTGATTTGGCCTCATATTTCTTCTGGAGCTAGTTGGATAAGGATCACCCTATTAGGGTGCTTAATTTTGTGCTAATGATCCTTCTTTCTGTCTGAAGTCTTCAGGTTATAGTTTTTTCAAAGAAACTCTGTGCTGCTTGTCCTTTTCCGCTTGCTGCATGATGTGCACATCGGTGCCTCCTGCAGCCTTCCACTTGTTAATTGCCTCTCCTTCCTAATGAAGCCTGTATCAGCTCCAGTGCTAATTGAACTTCGTCCTTCATTCAGACTGTGTTATTAAACAAATAGTCACAGTGTTTGGTCTCACTTTAATAGAAGCATTGATGTTTGCTTAACATCAAAAACTTATTAGTAATCCATTGAAAAGGCAATTAATGGAGGACATGTGGGTAAGGAAATTGAACTAGTCTGCACCACAGGACAAAGAATGGCAAAGACACTCTGGTTTTCTAAGGTTTAACTGTCTGTATCCTGGTAGTTGCAAAATGATTGTTAGATTCTTGACTCTTAACCCAAATCAATGAATTTATCATTTATGTAAAGTAGCACTTACATGTCTAATATCAAAGCGAAGGGTAAGCTGGCTTACCTGTCTCTGAAGTTTTCAATCATTCTCCCTCTCTCTTTATAACATTTTCCCCAAGTTTTTTAGCAGGACTTATCTTGGTGGTTGCAGAAAACATGAACAGGTGAAAAGAAGGTAATGTGTCACTTGCAGTCTTCCCACCTATAGCTAACCACTGATAAGCTTTGGTGTGTATTCTTTGTTCCTTGGTGCTGCATTCTAACACACACAGAGAGGCACAAAATTGGATTACATATCATATTGACCTGTTGTTTATTTTTTAATTGGTCATATGTTGTAAGTATCCATCCTGGACAATAAATAGAGACCTATGTCATCATAGTCAACGGCTTTGATATAATCTCTTGGTTGGATAGGCTGTAATTTATTTCATCATGTTGTAAGAGGTTTAGAAACAAGTGTCTCTTACTCAATTGTTTACATGGCCTTAAGTTGACTTTATTATTTGAATGAGTAATAGTAATACTAGAAAATAGTAACACTAGAAAAAGAAAATTGATAGACTACTCTGTTATAAAATAACTGTCCTCTGTTTTGTGAGAATATGCAATGTTTGGTATTATCAGGGTACAAATTTATAGGCTATGTAACAACTTTTCTGAGTATCCAATTTTCTTTACTTGCAATTTCACCAAAAAATTATTAAGAAATAACAGGAGGTTGTTCACGAACTATTTTTAAGATAATGGCTTAAGGTGGGATTTTTTCTCTACCTGTATACTCATGAGGATAAATGATACTTGGGTTCAAAGGAGAAACAAACTAAAAACATGAATCTAATGGCGTCTGGCAGTGGAGTAAAGCAGAGCAGATCAAATTCTCTTTACAAACCACATTAAATAGATATGAAAGGAGAAGAAGTAATAACGGGGTCACTCCATTTGTTCCACGGACCTGGGATATAATGTGAAATTTCCATCTGTGTTAATGAGTCATGCATGGCTGGGTCCTCAGGCAATATTTAGTAAACGAATGGTGTTATTGCCTGGCAGGGACCCTTTTAGAAAGTGCTGTTGTTGCGTGAACCTAAATATATATATACACACACATATATATGTATGTATTCTGGTTTAGCTAGGATTATGATGCATAAAATGTTGGTAATAGGTTTAAAAGATTAGCATAGACCAGCTTTCCATGAGATTGTTCTTTATATAAGAAAGTTAAATGCTACTTCTAATGTCATCATAAAAGTCAGGCTGGAGGATTATCGATTTTTTGGAGGCTTTTACTAGATAGCTTGATAATTGACTCTCTCAAGTTTTAACACTTGGCCCTGGGTTTGCTGTTTACCTTGCTCAAGCAATTTGGTGTAATTAATTTTTATAGCTGTATTTGCTTTTAGGGTTTATATTTTGGTGGAAAGCTATCTCTAGTCAAAACCTCATAGAATTACTTTTTTCTTTGAATTAAAACACAATTGTTTAAAATAAGAGTCTCATCTATAAAATTAAATAGAGAGTAAAATGCAAAATCTTTTAACATCTTTACAACTACATCAGATAGACATGTCTGTGGATAAGGATTGAAAAGAAACAAAACTGAACGCAGTTAATGTGTTAGGTAGTAGAATTGATCCATGTTTTTAGTAAAGAATAAGTAAACATAAGGGAAAAAGAGCATGAGGTGAGTTGTTTGGTTGGTAACGTCAGTTTTGACAGTTTTATTCGGTTGGGGCCGCAACTATAGCTTGGCTGCGGGCAGGACACCGGCCCTCACAGGTTGCTGAGTTCCAGCAGGGTCTGTACCAAGATCTGATGAATCTCCACGTTCTCCTCCTCGGCACTGGCCAACGTCTCTTCTAGGTCATCGGTAGTTTTCTCCAACTTTGCCACAGACCTTTCGACAAACTCTGCTCTGGTCTCAGCCTCCTTCAGCTTCTCTCCTCCAGCAGTTTCATCTCCTCTTCATATGTATCTTCTTTGGTGGAATACTCCTCCTCTGAGGCCATCAGGGACTTGAGGGTCTGGTCCATGGTTTCAAGTTTCTCCTCCAACTGCCTGGCTCGGCTCTCGGCCACCTCAGCTCTCTCTTCTGAGCGCTCCAGGTCTCCCTCCAGGATCAGCGGTTTCCCGGCCACTTCCTTGTATTTGCCGTCTGAATCCTCAGCGATGAGCTTGGCCTCCTTCAGCTGCACCTCCTCCGACTCCATCTGTTCCTTGCCTTTCATGGCCGGGTTTTTATGACCTTCATTCCTCTCTCACTCTCATCGGCTGCCTTCTCCTCGGTCTCCTCTAGCTTTTGCAGGGCTGTAGACAGCGCTCCTGGGCCCGGTCCGGCTCCTCCTCTTCCTGTTGAATGTGGCGGTTAAGGGAGGCCATATCCGCCTCAGCGTCGGTGGCCTTCTCGGCCCGCTCCAGTTTCTCCTGGGCCTCCTTCACGGATTGAGAATACTTTTCGCCTCTGTCCTCTTCAGCTTTTTCCGCTGCCCCTCCAGCTGCTTGCAGTGGTCCTCGGCTTGCTGCTTGTTGGCTTCCGCCCGCTCCGGGTGGTCGATGGCGTTCTTCTTGTCCAGCTTTAGCATCTGCATCTTCCTGATGGTGTCCCTGGCCGGCGGGCAGGTGGTGAGGCCTGGGTGCATCAGGATGGCTGCATGGACTCGGCGCACGGGTGGCAAGCGAGATTTATTTTTATCCGATCTGGACTGAGATTTATTTTATTTTTTTATTTTTTATTTATTTATTTTTTTGAGACGGAGTCTCGCTCTGTCACCCAGGCTGGAGTGCAGTGGTGCGATCTCGGCTCACTGCAACCTCCGCCTCCCGGGTTCAAGCGATTCTCCTGCCTCAGACTCCGGAGTATCTGGGACTACAGGTGCCCGCCACCACGCCTGGCTAATTTTTGGATTTTTAGTAGAAACGGGATTTCACCGTGTTGGCCAGGATGGTCTCCATCTCCTGACTTTGTGATCCGCCTGCCTCTGCCGTCGAAAATGCTGAGGTTACAGGCATGAGTGAGCCACTGCGCCCGGCCTGGGACTGAGATTGTTTTAATGCTTGTAAAAAAACTTTGAGTTGATGCTCATCTGTAGAAAGATTTGGCTTTAAAAATAGTCATTGATCATGCTGACCATTAACGTAATCGGTCAGAAATCACACATACTCCATAGACTTCTAAGAAGAAAGGAAAAACAAACAAAACAAAACAATGGGTGAAGGTTATAAAAAGGTAAGTTCTCCAACCTTGGAGAAGCATTCTTCCTCTTTTTCCTCCTCCTTTTTTTTTTTTTTAATCCACAGACTTGTTGGTAGTTGGCCTTTTGGGGACGTGTTTTTGACCACATGATACGGGAACTCTCAATATCTCTCAGGCTGACACCTTATTCTTTCTAATCTGATCAGACACAACGTTTTAAAAAGAAAATAGTTTTAATTAGATGACTGTTTTGCATTGTTAAAATTTTTTCTTAAATATTTTAAAATTGATTTTTAATGTGATACAAGGTGATTGCACAAAGTTAGAAATACAAAGTAAAAAGAAGAAAACAAGGAAAATTGCTAATTCCTCCATTCAGATTCATCATCGTGTTAAATGGTTTATTTCATTCATTCCAGTCTTTTTTATTTTTCCTTTAATATGGGTACATGTTTGTATATATTTTTGCTAGTATAATAGAATAATGTGATAAACCTTTTTGTATACACATTTTGTGTACAGTTCTGACTATTTCCTTAGGATCAGTTTAAACCCTAAGTTTTAATACTCTGAAGGCTTAGAGTTACTGTGGGGCTTTGGGCTAGAGAGAGGGATTGGTGGTACTAAAGCTGTTGATTACAGGAGAAAAAGAACCCTGCTCCTGAAGTATTCCCTTCACCCCCACTTATAGTAATCCCTCCTGGTGTTGTAGAGATAGCATGGAATTGTCTCTGGCTAGATTATAATTCTGAGGACTCCGGGTTGATTTTTACAGTGTATAAGAAGAAAAAGTTAGAAAAGGGTTTTATGCATGTAAGTCACTCCTAAAAAGTTGTGTAGAAAAATGAAAGCTTATTTGAGATTATTATGTGCTATAAATATTCTGATCTATAAGTTCGATTTTTTTCCTTTGGGGAAAATATAAATCAGAGTATCTTGAGTATTCTTTCTTTAAAAGACAACATGGATTCAATAACGGAGACTCACAAATGGAGGAATAAGAGAAATATGAAGTTTTGCTTTTGCAAACATACTGAAGTGGAAAATAGAAAAGCTGAAATCAACAATAACAACCACAAAAACGCCACATCCATTTGGACTAAAATACATGTATATATAACACAACTTTCCAAGCATAAAACGAAAACTCTCACCAAGGGAATGAAAAAAATACCTTTTGAAAAACTGCTGAAATAGGCCTGTTGTTGAAATAGTTTTATTTCCCCTTTAGAAGATCTATTTACTACAATTCTGGGAGCGAGAGGGATGATTGTGAATAAAGAATAGAGCCATTTAAGATGTTGTGCAGAGTACCAGAATTTATGAAGACTGGTTTGAATTAAAACTAAATGTCACCAGCAAATGGGAGCCAACGGAAATGTACATTTCATTTATTGTGCTGGGAGCTGGGGAGGGCAGCAGGGATGAGCTTATACTTAACAGGACTCTCTTTTATATGGCACTAATTTTTAGGTGGAGAACTTAGACCTTACAAAAACATGTGTTTCTCTCAAATCTTCTTAGCTGTTCAGATTAATTCATTAATTGGGAGGAGTTGAAATCATACCTCCTACTCGGGTATGTATAGTACAAGAGAAAAAAACTTCAAATATTAAATGCATTTATTCATTCAGCAAATTTGCATAGGAAGAAACAGGCGAGTTATCTGTCAACAATTAAAACGAAATGATTGGGAGATGCTGGGGGAACACTTCAGGTTGGGTGGTCAGGGAAGGCCACTGTGTCGCACTGGAGAGCTCTCCAAGATGATTCCAGAAGTTCACCCCTTTCTCTTTTCAATTTAGCGTATCTGTCTTTCCTCCTTCTGTGGCCTTTGCCTTCTTGCAAAGCACTTTCTATTATTATTTACTTTGACAGAGGAACTGTAAAACTGAAATAAAGATGCAGTTAAAAAAAAGAGAGCCTGAAATGCATTTTTTATAAATTGGAGGCTCAGGTGCACCATCCTTTTTTCAACTCCAAGAAAATCATAAATTATTTTATTAGAGGGAATTACCACAGCTCTAGATCTTAATGATTGCTGAACAGGAGGTTTTTTTCTTTCCTAAACATCAAGTAGCTGCCAGTTTTAATTTTCTTTTGGAATTTACACATTAAAAACATTGTTTTAGCTGTTCAACAAAACTGTCTCTTATATCCAAGGGATGGTGCCAGAGTATGAAATGTGCAGCTTGGTTTGATTTCTTCCCCTCTAGCCTGATCCACGAGTAAAAGCCAGCCTTGCATTTTATGACTGGAGGGGCAGTATTCAATATTAATAACTATGGGAAAAAACCAGATTCCAATTTTACTCTTTAATATCTCCATGCCCAGAAGTTTTATATTCAGGTGTCTGAGAGTGGGTCGACCACATTTCTGGTATTTTTTTTTTTTTTTTTTTTCCGAGACAGGGTCTTGCTCTGTTGCCCAGGCTGGAGTGTAGTGGCACCATCTCGGCTTACTGCAAGTTCCACCTCCTGAGTTCATGCCATTCTTCTGCCTCAGCCTCCCGAGTAGCTGGGACTGCAGCCCCCCCCTACCACACCTGGCTAATTCTTTGTATTTTTCATAGAGATGGAGTTTCGCTGTGTTAGCCAGGATGGTCTCGATCTCCTGACCTCGTGATCTGCCCCCCTCGGCCTCCCAAAGTGCTGGGATTACAGGCGTGAGCCACCACTCCTGGCCTCCAGTATCTTTACTTGATGGTACTGTGAGGTTCTTTCGTACAGATGATTAATGCAATAATTCTGGCACTTGGGATTTCAAGGACCAGTACAATGGCAAACAAAACAAAACAAAACAAAACAAATATTTATTCAGTGGTTGTTATATGTCACACACTGGTCTAGGGTGTGGAGAAATAGCGGTGAACAACAACAAAAAGAAACTGGCAAAAATGATTGCCCGCTTGTAGAGTATATTCAAATAACGGGGGGATAAAGTAAATGTATAAACAAGTAATGTCTCATGGTGATAAGTACTCAGAAAAAAGATTGCAGAGAAGGGATAAGAGGACAATCAGGGTGGAAGTGAGGCCTGCAATTTTACAGAGGAAAAAGATAAGCTTGGGAAGTTCTTCCTGAGTTGGCCACTTGTAAGGATAGATGGGAAGGGGGCCAGACATCAAGCCAATGTGAATGTCTAGGGAAGTTAGGAACAGCAAGTGCAAAGGCCCTGAGGCAAATGCATACCTGATTCCGTCTAGGGCCAGTAGGGAGGCCAGTGTGGGCAGAGGGTGGGAAGAGGAAGGAGGAATTGTAGGTGATGGGCTCAGAGATGAAGGGTGAGATCATGTAGGTTCTTATCAGCCCTTAGAAAGACTCTTTGGGTTTTGGTCAGAGTGAAGTGGAAAACCATTTCAGGATTGTGAACCTTAGAATGTCACGATTTGATTTTCTACAAATACACTAAAAGAGAGGAAAGGAAGAAGTAGAGAGACCAATTGGAGACTATTTCAATAATCCAGGCAAGAGGAGATGGTGGGTTGGATCAGAGTAGTAGCAGTAAAGGTGGTGAGAAGTCTGATTTTGGATACATTTTGAAAATAAAACCAACACGTTTTACTGCCAGTTTGGATGAAGGATGTAAGATATACAGAAGGGTTAACAATGAGTCCAAGGTTGTAGGCTGGAGCAAATGGAAGGATAGAGTTGCTATTTACAGAGAACAAGAGGATTGGGGGGTCTTTTAGGGGAAAGATCAGGAGCTTGATTTTGGACATACTGATTTCGAGGTGCTCATTATTAACAAAATGGAGACGATAAGCAGGATGCTGGGAATGAGTGGTTGAGATTAGAGGTATACATTTGGGAGCAGTCAGCACTAGTGTGCATACTCTGTACTGATGCGCACACTGGCTTCTATGTTGTTCTGTCTGTGACTTGCATAAAAACAGTCTTTGTGGCACACTCAAATTGTAACCCAGTTCCAAGCCAGGTATCTCAAATGGTATCTCTGGTTTAATTCTGGATTGGGGGTGATTTTATTTATATTTTGTCAATATTCATTTTCCCGTCTGTTCAGTCACAACCATGCAGCTACTTATTATTCCTATTTCTTGAGGGGTGTGGGTAAAGGGTCTGCTATTGATTTGTAAGCCACAGCAAATTCAGCCCCTTTTGATACTCCTCTGAAAGGAGGCTCTCTTTGAGAAAGTTTTTGTTACCTTTCCAATTCGTCCATCTTAGAGTTGATTATAATTTTAAGCTTCATGATGCAATAATCGATAACATTTATATAGTGCCATTATCTCTTTCCAAGTACTTTATGAACATTTGTTAATTGCTTGCCGCATTACCCCACGAGGCAGGTAAAGTCCCATTTGCATTCATTGTAAGAGTTTCCCGACAGTGGGGGTGGGTTTGAGCCGTGAAGCGAATGCCCATCAGACACCTGGCCAGTTAGGGATAGAGGGATCAATAAGCAAGTAATGATGATGGCTTCATC